CCCAGAAAGCATCTGGACTAGCAACCCAGTCTCCAGTTACAGCGGGACTTTCTAACCTGGCGGCGGAGCAGCACTGAGCTGGCGGGGCACATCAGCCCTCCAGTTTAAGACTAACTAGGGCCAAACCAGAGAACAGAAAGGCTGGTTGCCCCGATTCCCACTGACGTGACCACCCTGAAATCTCCAGCTGCAGCAAGACCTCATAACCTGGCAGTGACAACAGCACGGAACTGGCGGAGCACATCAAAGAAGCAGGGCCAAACCAGAGAGCAGAGTGCCCAGATACACCGATCTCTGCCAAATGACCTGCCTGTAAGTGAGTGAACCCTTGAGAATCTGCAGCCCCACTGATCCTGGGTCCTTCTAAAACAGAAGCCAGGCATTGATCCCCCTCCCACCCATATACCCACTTTGGGAAACAGAGGGGCACTTGGAACATTGAAGTTCCTGCTCTGTGGGTCTAATTGAGGAGTTAAGGCAGTTAATGCCAGAAATTGCACTGCGATCATCACTAGCGCCTGCGACATATACATTGCAGAGCCCCTCCCACACACTCAAGGGTTCAACATTAGCCATCACTCTGTCCCTTGAGACACATGCCCACGCCCACTTACACACACACACACACACATATACACACGCACGCACGCTTGCATTTGCCTCTGTTTGCGCCTGCGTACTTTCCTCCCACAGGTACAGCTAGTCCTCAGCACACGCTAAGGACACGGGACCTCTCTCAACTTCCTGAAGAATTCTCCAGACTCGAGAGAGAGACAGTACCAGTCTGATCGGCAGAATCCAAAAACAAACAGGGAAGGTCTCAGATAAGCCAATGGCCAGGGGTAGGCGAAAGAACACTTCCAACATAAATCAGGACATCATGACTTCACCAGCAAACCCCAAAATCGATGGATACTCCAATTCATCAGAAGCACAGGAAAATGACCTTAAAGCCATGCTTGCTCAATTATTTGAGGCTCATAAGGAGGAAATGAACAATTGGAGATAAAGAAAGAAGAAATAGACAAAACCCTTAAAGAAACACAGGCAAACATAGCCAAACAAATAGAGGCACAAGTAGAGAAAAAATTAGTGGCATACAAAAAGGAAATGAACAAAGAAATAGAGTCCATCGTAGAGAGACAGGAATCCAAATTCAAACACATGGAAGAAATGGTGCAAGGCATGAAAACAGAATTAGAATCAATAAAGAAAACACAAAATGAGAAAACTCTTGAGCTGGAGAACTTTGAGAAAAGATCAGGAACCACAAAAGTAAGCATCACCAACAGAATACAAGAGATGGAAGAGAGAATCTCTGGAGCTGAAGACACACTTGCAGGAATTGATACATCTCTCAAAGAAAAAGTAAAATCAGAAAAATTTCAATCACAAAATATCCAAGAAATCAAGGATGCTATGAAAAGACAAAATCTAAGAATAATAGGAATTGATGAAAAAGAAGACTCCAGGCTCCAAGGTCCAGAAAATATTTTCAAGAAAATCATAGAAGAAAATTTTCCCAACTTAAAGAAAGAGATGTCCATAAATATAGAAGAGGCCTACAGAACACCAAATAGACTAGACCAGAAAAGAAACACATCACGTCACATCATAGTCAAAACACTAAATCTACAGAACAAAAAAAAAGATATTAAAAGCAGCAAGGGAAAAAGGCCAAGTAACATATGAAGGTAGACCTATCAGAATCACACCAGACTTCTCATCAGAAACTATGAAAGTCAGAAGGGCCTGGGCAAGCATCATGGAGACTCTAAGAGATCACAAATGTCAACCCAGACTACTATACTCTGCAAAGCTTTCAATCAACATAGATGGAGAAAACAAAATATTCCATGACAAAACTAAATTTACGCAATATCTATACAGCAAACCAACCCTACAGAAGATACTAGAAGGAAAACTCCAATCCAACGAAAACGAATTCACCCAAGAAAACAGGGCATACAGATAATATCCCAACAAAAATGTAAAAAAAACAAGCAATGAAACAAGGTAAGATCATCGACTTCATTACAAAAGGAACTAACATGCATTGGTCAATATTATCTATCAATATTAATGGACTCAACTCACCAATAAAAAGACACAGGCTAACAGAATGGTTACAGAAACAAGACCCAACATTCTGTTGCATCCAAGAAACACACCTATGCAACAAAGATAAACACTACCTCAGAGTAAAGGGCTGGAAAAATGTTTTTCAAGCAAATGGTTCCAGAAAACAAGCTGGAGTAGCCATCCTAATATCTAATAAAATAGACTTTCATCAGAAATTAATCAAAAAAGATAAGGAGGGCCACTATATTCTCATCAAAGGAAAAATCCAACAAGAGGACATCACAATTTTGAATATCTATGCCCCAAATACAAGAGCACCTACATTCGTAAATGAAACAATATTAAAGCTTAAATCATACATTGATCCTAATACCTTAATAGTGGGAGACTTCAACACCCCACTCTCATCAAGGGACAGATCAACCAGACAGACACCAAATAGGGAAATGAAAGCACTCACAGAATCCCTAAATCAAATGGACCTAATAGACGTCTACAGATCTTTTCACCCAAACTCAAAAGAGTACACCTTCTTTTCAGCACCGCATGGAACCTTCTCCAAAATAGACCATATAGTTGGTCACAAAGCAAGCCTCAACAGATACAAAAGGATTGAAATAATCCCTTGTATACTATCTGACCACCATGGACTAAAGCTGGACATCAACAACAACAGAAACAACAAAAAGCCGACACGCACATGGAAACTGAACAACTTACTACTCAATGACAGCTGGGTCAAGGAAGAAATAAAGAAAGAAATTAAAGACTTTCTAGAATTCAATGAAAATGAAGGCACAACATACCCAAATTTATGGGACACATTGAAAGCAGTGCTCAGAGGAAAATTTATAGCACTAAGTGCCTACAAGAAGAAATCCGTAACATCACATACAAACAACTTAATGGCCCAACTGAAAAACCTAGAAAAAAAAGAAGCAGATACACCCAAGAGGAGCAGAAGGCTGGAAATAATCAAAGTAAGGGCAGAAATCAATCAATTAGAAACAAATAAAATTATCCAAAGAATCAATGAAACAAAAAGCTGGTTCTTTGAGAAAATCAACAAGATAGACAAACCCTTAGCCAAACTAACTAAAAAGCAGAGAGAAACCATACAAATCAGCAAAATCAGAAAGGAAAATGGGGACATAACTACAGACACTGAGGAAATCCAAACGATTATTAGGTCATACTACAAAAGCCTATATGGCACAAAATTTGAAAATCTAAATGAAATGGATAACTTTCTTGACAGATTCCATCTACCAAAATTAAGTCAAGATCAGGTAGAAAGACTGAATAGCCCTATATCTCCCAAGGAAATTGAAGCAGTCATTAACAGTCTCCCCTCCAAAAAAAGCCCTGGACCAGATGGCTTCAGCGCAGAATTCTACAAGACCTTCAAAGAAGTACTAACACCAATTCTCCTCAAACTATTCCACAAAATAGAAATAGAAGGAACACTACCAAACTCATTCTATGAAGCCATAGTCACTTTGATACCTAAACCACACAAAGATCCAACAAAAAAAGAGAACTTCAGACCTATCTCTCTTATGAACATTGATGCAAAAATACTCAATAAAATACTTGCAAACCGAATCCAAGAACACATCAAAGATATCATCCACCATGACCAAGTAGGCTTCATCCCAGGAATGCAAGGGTGGTTCAACATACGGAAATCCATCAATGTAATCCACCACATAAACAAAATGAAGGAGAAAAACCACATGATCATCTCCTTAGATGCTGAAAAAGCATTTGACAAAGTCCAACACCCATTTATGTTTAAAGTCTTGGAGAGATCAGGGATACAAGGCACATACCTAAAGATAGTAAAGGCAATATACAGCAAGCCTATAGCCAACATCAAACTCAATGGAGAGAAACTTAAATCAATCCCACTGAAATCAGGGACAAGACAAGGCTGCCCACTCTCTCCATATCTCTTTAACATTGTACTTGAAGTCCTAGCCAGAGCAATAAGACAACTACATCCCTAGATGAAAATACTCAGTCTTTGACTTGAGAGTATAGCGAACAACACTATTAAAAATTTAGAAGTGCAGGAAGTTGTCTCCTGTACCAATGAGTTCCTGGCTCTTCCCCACTTTTTCTTCTAACTGATTTAATGTGTCTGGTTTTATGTTGATTCACTTGGGCTTTAGTTTTGTGGAGCGTGATAAGTATGGATCTATTTGCATTTTGCTACATGTAGACATCCAGTTAGACCATCACCATTTGTTGAAGATGCATGGAGATAACCTGGAACCCCTTCACAGATGTAGCCCATGGCAATTCAGTGTCGAAGTGGGTTCCCTAGTAATGGAAACAGGGACTGCCTCTGACATGAACTGATTGGCCTGCTCTTTGATCACCTCCCCCTGAGGGAGGGAGCAGCCTTACCAGGCCACAGAGGAAGACATTGAAGCCATTCCTGATGAGACCTAACAGACTAGGATCAGAAGGAAGGAAAAGAAACCCTCCCCTACTTGGGGAGGGGCATGCATGGAGAAGGTGGAGGAAGGGAGAGACTGGGAGGGGAGGAGGGAGGGAACTACAGGGGGGAAACAAAGTAAATAAAGTGTAATTAAAAATAAAATTAAATTAAAATTTAAAAAATCTAGAAGTGGTTAAAATCGGACTCATTTTGAACAGGTAGAAAAAGCAGAAATTAGTGTGAAGCTCATATGCAAGCCACTTCATTTGCATGTTCACTGATCATACTGTCATAGTACTGTAATATGAAGACTTGACCAGTATGGCCAATTGTCCAGATGATACATCCAAAGGCATTTGCAATCCCAGTCAAATTTTCTAGACTTAGCTAATTCATGAGCAGCTTTACAATGATTTACTAACATTGATCTTTCCTTTAGTTTTAGGCAAAAATCACTCATTGATTATCTGCATGCTTGGTCACAGAATTTACTATTTCCACAGCCAATGTAGTCATGACAAGGTCCATTTTTATGACTTACACAAAAGACATAAATTATAAGCCCACACAAGCCCACAAGCAAGTACATTAAGCTATGATATATGTTTATTTCCCATTATAATGGCTACTTTTTCAATTACTCTTTTATTGGATTAACAACTTTCCCTAAAAAGAGAATGCTTTTGGTTCTTTTCTCCAAAATCATCAGTAAGAATGTTCTATCAAATCTAATAACAGGGTGAAGAGAAGCTACTTCTGCCTGATCCAGAGAGCCAGCTTCAGGAGTAGCTTCTTCTTTGGTTCCTTCTTCTCCAATGTGCAGCACAGCCTTGTGAAAAGCCTTTGGGAGGAAAACAGACACTGAAGGTCCCCTGAAAGAGTGTCATTAGCCTTTGGGTAAGATGGAAGTACAAAAATAAATACATCATATTCTTTTGACGTTACTTGAATATAAATATTACTTTGATGTGTAGTTAATTAATCTCTGTGATTTTAGGACTACTTGTTTGGGTAGCATCTCATCCTCCATCACCGTCTTTCTCTAGAAGAGTTATCTCTTCGGTGCCGCTCTCTCATTCTCTACCACTGTATCTTACAACAGTCACTTCTGATCATTAAGACTTCCCATTATAGTAGAGTCATCTCAGTACATGAAGGTTAGGACATTATATTTTATTATTTATACATGTATTTGAGTGTTTGACATGCATATATGTATTTGGCCTAGTACATGCAGAGGCCAGAAGATGGTGTAAAATCTCATAGGACTGAAGTCACAGATAATCATGAGCTTCCATGTCAGTGCTGGAAATTGAACCTGGGTCTTTTGCAAGAGCAAGCAGTGCTATTATTTGATGAACCATCACTCCAGCCTCTGAAATTACTTCTAATATGGGTTAGAGTAAAAAGAATGACTCTCATATGATACTGATCGAACAGAATCACACTGCTTCTGTAGACATGAGCTTCCTCATTGACCAAATGAGATGGGTGAATCATGTGATTCTCAAAGCCCTTTCCAGCTCATATGGCAAAAAACTAATTGACCAACTTACATAGGAAAGTTTTAAACCATTGTCTTCTGTGATTCTAGAAAAGTCAGCACTTTCAGCAAAGGCATCCCTCATGCCCATCTTCTGAAGTGTGCTTCCAAGGTCATATGTGGCAGAAATGGAAAACTTTGGAACAAACAATTCAACCCATCTGTGTGAAATGAGGAAATGGAGACACTTATCACATTAATCCATTTCGCTTTCTATCATTCAACTCTGCTACTCTTCTGAACATTGACATCCATTAACATGGCACCAGAACCACTGAAACATATTAAGGCATAAATAGTATCTGACGCAGAAAATGTTGAACTGCAACACGTGGTATGCTGACACCTCATTATCAGAAAAAAATGTATCTCTGTAGCTTTCAGAAAGGACAGGTGACTAGTGGCATGAAGATCAAAGGGTAGTGTATAGGAACTTCATGTTTTTCCATCTTATTATTCTATCTCAGA